GAAACGAAAATGTCTTTCAAACCTTAAATTTTAAGTAGCCGTGATAGATTATTTAATAAAAACGTTATAAATGACTGAAATTATTCTTAAGTAGCGTCAGAATGCTGCTTAAAATAATATTTTGACGGTAGGAAATTTTGGTGTATTTTCGTTCTTGCGATCTCGAAAACTAACCCGTTTTCTCACCACCTGTCTAAGGGGAACTTGTTCCAAACTTGGACTTTTAGCGCTTTTTTGTATATCTTTGAAACGACTCGAACGAATTTTTTTTCAAATCTCTATACATAATCTTCATAAATGAATTAAACTTAGAGGCGTTATATTTAGCGCCCGCGTTAATTCAGTTCCTAAGTCAAGGGAAAAACTATTAACGGTTATTTCTAGGAGGGGCCTAATTAAGTCACAGTATTCAAAATAAGTGAACCAACATGCAGCTTACATTTCTTAATTTCATTGTCATTAATACAAGCGCTTTTGACAACATTAATTTATTAAGCAATTCCAGTGACATATACCTTCACCCTATATAGTAAGCTAAAGCCCCGTGCAAACAGACGCAACATTGTTGGGAGTAGTTTTGTTCTTTTGCACGTAGCTGAAAGTTTGATCGGTTTCAAACTTTGCGCAACAACTCCCAACAACATGCAACAACAAGCAACAGGGTGTGAAAACGGACACAACGTGTAACATCTGTTGTGAAGTATTTAAGAATTTTCTCATCTTTAAAGTTTATTTTTCGTTTCATTAAGTGGGTCAAAGTTAAGGTAGATTTTTTCTTCGTAGGTGTTTTCCTATTTTGATCTTCTAGTACAGCTCGCAGATTTACTTAAAGTCATTTTAGGAATATTGTTCGCTGCTATTGATGGTTTTAACAGTGACGCCATCAGATTGCAAAGTCAAAAAAGCGAGGTTTTACGAATTCTTATTTACACTAGGTTGAAGATAAATAGAAAATAAATCTTAGTGGAAGTTTCCACTACCGAAGCATGTTTCATTTCGAACTTCCGAGTTTTCACAGTGCGTGACACCAAAAAGGAACGCTGTTTCATTGAAAAAGGTCATTCCTCTTGATTTTCAGCAGTTTAACCATTTCAAGTGTTAAAAGATGTGTTTTTGTGCACGTATGCTAGCTCTCGAGTGAAAAGGAAGAGCTTTTTATAGAAAACGTGTACTCCAGATCTTTTTATTGATTTCCGGAGGGCATATTAGTGGACAGTTTCTGTCCACCAATAAGGCGTCTCCATACAAAGCTATACCGAAGGCAAGAGAAATGTTTTGGCAAATAACTTAGAAACTGTTGACCACAAAGACCTGAGATTTGGATAAATTGTTAGTCTTTTACAACATTTCATTTTCTTGGCTTCTTCAACAGGAAGGTTTCCAGTTTACTTTTTGTGCCTTGTTTATTGCGTGACAATGAAAACGAAGAATTGTCAGAATATTGCTACTTTATCATAGGTGGCCGTTTTTGTCACGTCAGCGCTGACAATTGGTTCATTAGTCTCGTTGAAGTCCCTGTTTTGGCTTGTTAACCAGCGTTTTAGTTTTTCATCGGTTTGTAGCTTTTTACTGATCACAACTATGTAGGTTCAGAAATACCAAAACATTACCCACATCGAGTTCACCTTGTTTTTTATTCCCACCGTCAGCTAACTCAAGCATGTCCAGCTTAGGTCAGCTATTTGACTTACTTTAGAGCAAGGATTGAGTAGAGAAGAAGAGTAAGAAGACTAAAATTGTGAGCAGACGTCAAAGAAGATAATAAAAGATGTTAATCAGATTCCTACTACCTCATCGTGTAGCGAGCGAGTTGATTGAACACCCTCCCCTCTACCCCCCCCCCCCCACACACACACACACACACATCCAACATTGTTGGCCAAGAACGGCCAACAATGTTGTGTCGGTTAATTGCACGGGGCTTAAGTGCTAGGCAGTACTGTAGTTAATACGGTATTGAAGGGAGTCACTTGCAAAGTACACTATATTGTCGAGACTAAGACGAAATAATTAAGGAATTGTGCATTATCAAATGCGCTCTCATCGTCACATATCTCATTTTTCAGTATGTCAACACAACTGGAGCTCGAGTGTGTTTAAAGGAGTTGTACAAGTCAAAGTACGACCCTCTCTCTGTATCATATACTGTCTTGTCAGGTAAGAACGGTTTAATGGCATTCCTTTTTTAGCAACACATGGGTTTTACTGATTACTCACAACTAATTCATTATGAATGCAGAGATAACTTATATGCGAGAGTCATTTCATTAATAGAGGAAGGCGATCATTTTAAATATTAGCTCCCTGGAAGTCGTTCAATGTTTTTGCTACTGATTATTCCATTTAATCAGTAGATACTGCTCTGAATTTGGCGTCGTCAGTTTTATTTTCCTCTTTTCCTCCTGCTAAGCGTATCGGCCGCACAAGCAGTTGGAATGATGTTTGTGAAGCTGCCTCGTCCCCAGTTGTTCGCGTTGCTTGCCTGCATTTCTCGCACTTCTCGATTGTTCTGTTCTCCCTTCTAAGCCTTGGGAAAGCCTGTGGAAAAGGCACTCTTTAAGGGACCAAATGTGTGGAGATTTTTAAACTGCAGAGTCGTTTTATATCTTTATCACAGATATTTGCCAGCCAAGATGGAGTTTTTTTGGTGGCTACTGTTACTTCACAAGTCGTGCATGCGCCTCGTGGCTGACCGCTGAATCAAACTGTTCTACGATGAGTTCCAATTTGGTAACGGTTCACGATCAGGAAGAAAATGTCTACATTCAACACCGTCACAACGGAGAGAGATCTTGGATTGGACTCAATGACCGAAGTGTGGAGGGCTCCTTTGTGTGGACAAACAAAGAAATAAGCAAATTTAGGTTCTGGGCCCCACAGCAACCGAACGATTGGAAAAACGAAGACTGTGTTCAAACTCTTGGAGCCAAGCATGGTTACACTTGGAATGATGTGCCATGTACTAACTGTTACAACTACACTTGTTTTAAAGGTACTAAGCGTAGCAAGGTTTATAACTATCTACTATTAATGATCTTCATGTTCCAGATAGTGAATCTCAGTAGACATGTAACTACGTTAAAAAGGTGATAACACAATTAAAGCATATCCTATTACACGGAAAACAAGTTACCGGTAGGCAGATTGCATGGAAAGCAAGAGAGGGTAACACCAATCAGACTAGACTCAAGTAAAGGTAGTTTCGGTATTAGAAACATAAGGATTACACCTTACATTTGCATTAAAAAATATCCATTGACCGAAAAATAGCCGCAAAAGCCTGAAATCGGTATAATCAAAAGAAGAACGGGAAAAGTCGCGCCAACCTTCACTTAATTTTCAACTATGTTGTTTAGACACCTTTTTCAAATGGTTAATGAGCATAAGTTCAGGGAAAGCTCCCATACGACCCTTTTTTTAAAGTCCCTTTTTTTGGCCTTTAACTAGTGTACGCTATTACCGTCAACTAAACTACATTATCATTCATTCAAAATATTTCCCCGATTCTGATTGGCTAAAAGCACACGTTTAATTCACCATAACCAGTTACTGATGACCAAATTTGGAAGAATTTCGTGTTTAGCGAGGAAATGACGTCAAAAATGCAGCGTTCTTGCAAGTTAATGCACCGTTAACCGAGAAGACCTGGGAACGAGGTTGAGTTGTTTTGGTTGTGAACTTGAAAAATAGCGGACGTTTCACTCGTTTCAAGAGTAAGAACTAGGCCAAAAAATAGCTAAAAACATGGCAAGAACAGCAAGAAGAGAAGTCGAAGGGCGACATCTGCTGTTTGGAGAATATTTGCGGAACTGAACAGCCCTAAAAGTGCACTATCGAAGATGAACTTAACATCGATGGATCGATGGAGGTAAGCATGTTTTAGCCTTGTTTTTAAACTAGCAATTATTTTGAATGAATAGTAAAGCAATTCAGTATTGAATTCGGCTTTCGCATAATATGAAGAATTATCGAGATCTCGGAGGCTTTTATCCGCCTCGGCCTACGGCCTCGACGGAGAACACCCCCCTTGATCTCCATAATTCTTCGTAAGATACTCAGTCTCATTCATTAATTGTTAAATATATTCTTTTTAAACAAACTTCACTAACTGAAAAAGTCATGTTGTTTGACAAGAAGCCTCTGCGTGCTTATTTTTTTCAGACTTGGATGAATGTACCACTGGTTCCCATTCCTGTGACGTCAACTCCGTATGCCAGAATACCGTGGGTTCATACGCATGCTCGTGTAATGCTGGGTACACTGGAGATGGAAAAACCTGCAATGGTATTTAAGACAAACTGTTGATCTTTCATGTGCGACCATCCTTCCAAAGTGACCCATAAGCCGAGATGGATCTACACATATCGTAACTTTGAAATTACGCACAATAAATTATTTTTTCAAACGCACCACCTGTAGTTCGATTCTTGTAAGCAACACCCTCTAGTCATGAAGCAGCTCTCCTAACTCTAAACGTCAATTGTTCGGCGATACTCTAAACGTGAAAAAATGGGAAATAATGATAAGCAATGATGTGTTATTGTTTTCTGCAACCAGTGAGAAACACCTTACGAGCATCTCCTACATTAGCCCCCTCTAATCTGGAGGTTCCACTTGGACTGTGATACTATAGTCAAAGAAGACAACGAAACAGATTGAAGGCGTAATGCTTTTTTGCAAAATATCGACACTGCCATGGCGTTTTGGTAAAAAGCCTAAGACCATATTTGTTAAAGTAACAAACAAAAGCAAAAACAAAAATGAGTACATCATCTTAATATATAGATTTAGCCAGGGCTAAAAGCGAAGCTCCCATTAATAAATTTATAATTTAAATCAAACAATAAACTTGTAATCCACAAATCAGTCAACTTTAAGGGAAAGCTAAGGCTAAGTGATTTTAGAGTGAAAAAAAAAATGTTACATCGAATTGATAGCCGTATATATACACCCAAAAAATAGCAATCATCTTCGATCACATTTTAGAGCGGTAATGGCTCTTGATCACAGTAGATTAGGCCTGGAAAACGAATTTTTGGAAAACAAATCAGGCTGAATTTTTGGCGTTCGACAAGTTTACTTAACAAAAACTTGCCAACAACTCTGGGAGCGTGTAAACCAACATTTCATACTTTTTATACATCACATCTAAAGATATGAGGCGTTGTTATCATATAGACCTCAGAAAAAATGCAGTATTTGACAATTTTTCAAGACAAATTGCACTCATTCAATATTCAGAACCGTACGAAGCACTCGTGGGCTTTTGGCAAAACCGTTCAAAAAATTTCCAAAATCATTTATACGGCCAGCCGGTTCTCACTTTTGACAAGAGCCAAATTTTCAGTGAACATTAAACGAGTTACGCTTCAACATAATAAAGAATTTATTGTGTTTATTTTTTTTATTAAATGGTTTTAAAACGATGTGCAATCTTAAAAAGCGTTTGATACGAGCAGCATTTTGAGTACTCCTGCAAGCGTTGTTTATGAACGACTGAAAACAAACTGCAAAGCGATTAAAACTGTAAGAGACTACTAACAATCAATAAAAGAAATGTAATTCGGTGAAACATTTACAGAGACAACAATTTTCATTCACGAAGACAAGTATTAAAGCGTCTCTAAAAACTGAGTCTTTAAGCTTAAGCTTAAAGCTTTTAGCCGGCTTCCTGGTGTTTACTGTTTTCAAAGATGAACTCGAGGCAAGAAAACCGCTCAAAGCTTTCTTTCTACAGCCAAAATTATAACTAAATACTCTTCGGAAAGTTTTTTCGTTCTATATGCGGAGAGAAAATATCGACTAAAGGCTTTTTAAAGTTCTGTAAGCTTATATATACTAGATCAGATCATTGTCTCAGATCTTAACACAAACGTGCATAAATTAGCCTCCTAAACTGCGCTCGACTTCATGAAATTAGATATAAAAAAACAAACGTACACTGTATACAATAATTACTTAGGCTTACCATTCGAGATGCAGCTCTTGAAAGCTATAAAGTAAGAACAGAATCGCTTGAGGGACTTTTCAACCCGCATCCAGCAAGGTAAAAACGAAAGCGATGCATCCGAAATCGGATTTCCAACTTTGGCAACCGGCGCATTTCCCGACCAAAGATTCAATAAACAAACCAGCCATGAATCAAAGAAGACTGTTGATAGCAGCTGTATTTCATTTTAAGCATCCAGTGGAAAAAGACTGTAAAAAACATCACAAGTTGACAAAATACTCTGTCAGCTTCAGCTGTCAAACTGAAAGTAAACAAGGTTCAAGATGCTGTATAAATTTTCTGCATGAACTCACCTGTCAAATTTTGACCAATCAGAGCATAAAAATTGGACGGTCGTAGAGCGTGATCAACGCGTGTCTATGGTGAGAAAAGTGAAAAGCCTCTGTCTTCCCTGCTTGTATTTTTAAATGACTGGCTGAATTTTCGAGTCCGAGATCAGTTTGAAATCAAAATGTTAATAGCGCGGGGCCATAGTGACATTAACGCAACACTTTCTGTCATCATGTCATTATTTTGCTGCCGTTCTCTTTGCCGTTGTATTTCTCTTTCGCGTTGCCTTTGTCTGTTCATTCTAGCTCTGTCTCGTTCTACTTGCCGGCGTTTTTCACTATAATTTTCTCTCCTTCTTCTCGCTCTGACTCTTTCTACTTGCTTTCTTTTTTTCAAAACCAGTTGCGCGATATAATTGCGCGACGTTGCGCCATGCGATTTCCCGCCAAAAAAATCTCTACTTTCCCCTACCCCAAGAGTCCATGCGGACTACTTTCCACTACCCGGAAAGTCCGTACGGACGGACGTACGCTACGTCATAACCAAATTTTCTGGGATGGATAGTTTACCAAATTTTCTTACCCATGGTGCTCCGCTGCGCGCGCGCGAAGCGCGCGCGGGAGCTCCGCTATAATTATAGCAGCAATTCAACCAGATGTACACTATTATTCTCTCTATATATCTGTTATTCTAACCCTTTATGTAACTTACAATTCTGATGCAGATATCGACGAGTGTTCTACCAACTCTCACAGTTGTGACGTTAATGCGATTTGTAGCAATACTGTTGGATCGTACGCATGCGCCTGTAAAGCAGGATTCACAGGCGATGGAAAAACATGCTCTGGTAAGCGGTTGCCGTGTTGTAAAAAACGCTTCTAAGACGATAAATGTGCCTGTATGTTCTACTGATTCGATCTTTACATTTAAACAAGTAGAAAACGATGGACATAACCTAATAAAAATGTTTCTAAATAATAAGAAAATAACAAGAAATACGTATCTCGCATACTCTCCCTGGCTCAAGTCGATCTTGCACTTAACATTATGTCAAAGCGCGTCATTGTAGCAATGCACGAAAAATAACAAAAGATAACGAAAATAAAAATTAAAATAATCCTCCTCAACCAGGTTATAGGGTTACAACAGTTCTTGTCTTCTGACGTGAACAGTCAGGTATGATAATAAAGGGCATGTTACAGAGGTCAGACCCTTTGAAAGAAATAAAAGGTGCTTAAAAATCGACTATTTGGTCTGTCGACATAACGGAAAGGGGTCTTGTCAAAAGAATTGGTGTTACCTATTAGCTGGTCTTCCAAGATTCCTGGAGTAAATATATTGGATAATCATCGCTGTTGTAACCCTATAACCTGGTTACGGAGGATTGTTTTTATTTTTATTTTTGATACCTTTTGTTATTTTTTGGTTGTTTTTCGTGCATTGCTACGTGACACGCGTGTCAATTATTTCGGATATCACTAAGTGTGGCGTACAACTGCAGATCGAGGTCATAAGACGAAACTATAGCTTTTTTTGTAAAAATCCCCTGGATAAATGTGTGTTGAAAGTGGATCTTCATTAGACGTTTCTTTTCTCTGTTGACATTTCGAATCCCGTTGAAGTCCGGAGTTTATTACTTTTTTCTTTTTTTTTCAGATTAATTTGCAATTTCTTAAACTGCAATTACAGCTAATTACCACTGCGACGATCATATCTTCATTTAAAAATAAATCACTTATGTTTCTCTGAATGTCATTCAGACAGATATTCTTATATTTATAGCTCTTTCGTGTTCTTAGATATCGACGAGTGCTCTACAAATTCTCACAGCTGTGACGTCAATGCGGTGTGTAGCAATACTGTGGGATCATACGCATGCGCCTGTAAAACAGGATACACAGGCGATGGAAGGGCGTGCAATGGTACGATTTTTTGTTTCGTTTTGTTTTATTTTCCTTGAGGTGGTGGAAACAAATTAACAATATCATGATTTATGATGCAACAATTTTTTAGAGCCGTAGGCGAGGTTGCATAAAGCCTCCACACAAATATTAATACAGAACAGGAGCCCAGCCCCTGTACAGAACTATTACTGTTTCTTCATAGACCTTTTGGTCGACTGACTGTTATTCTTCCCTATAGAAAGGACTCATTTACTAGTAGAAATGAGTAATTTAATATAAATTTGTTATTCAATATTTTCAATTTTCCCAACTCAAACCCGTTATTCTATCACTGAGTTCTATGCAAAAATTAAAAGAAGCAAAGCCTGCCTAAACTTCGTCGTCAAGTACGAAAGTGTCTCAAGGTTTTTTCTACTTTTTAAATCCACTATCCTCCACCTGTTTATATGTTGCATCAATTGCTTGACTTGGTTTCCAATAAGCATCTAATAGTTTTCTTTAGGAATAATAACTGAATATTTTTAATGTTCTTGCACTATATAACCTCAGTTGCATCCGGCCCACTCACTCGTCTAAACCATTCGTATAGTCCGTCTGCAAATTAGTTCTCATGAGCTCGTTCTAATATCCTGTAGGGTCACAAGGACGTATGTGAGCGTTTCTGATAGGCGGGTTTCTTACGGGCTTCTTAATTAAGCGCCTTACGATCTCTATACAAAGGGTTAGAGCGTCTGCGGCGGAGGCAAGCATTGTAAGGCGCTCTTAAAAAGACACACGATGCATCTAAATATATAGTAGAATCAAATCTTACATGCAGCCTTGAAAACGTCAAAAATGTTTGAAACATCAGCACTCTGAATCTCCATTCGTAGATGTCGATGAATGCACCGGCGGTTTACACAGCTGCCATAAGTTCGCTTCATGTACAAACACTATTGGATCCTACCGCTGTTCATGTCACCAGTATTACAATGGAGACGGTAAAAACTGCCAGCACTCTGTGAGCGGTGAGTATAGTTTTCATTGGTCTGGATTAGTTAAAACAGGTAGAAAACATTCAGTGGAAGAGGAGTACTTGAAGTGTTTTTTTAAAATTCGGGCACATTACGTGCAGGCCAAAAATTGTTCCTAACAGACTCCATGAAAAACTTTTCATGTCTCAGTTCCTTAAATACCTCTCATTAACAAAGTTTGAGGTTCATCTAAATTAAATAACTAATTAATTATCAAATTAATTATTATTTAATCTTCCAGAAATATATAGCGAGAATATTGTATTACCAAGTTATTTATTTATGATTCGCAATAACACTGATTAAGTTCAGCATTTCAATGCAAATAAACTGCCTCCTTTTCTGGCTGCGTGGAGAGTGAACGTATTAACCTGGCCTCTTTAACATCCCCCAGCATTGGATTAGACACATAGATGTACATACATATTCCGTTGGCTCGTCCCCACAGGCCTTTTCATCGTCAATGTTACAATAACAATTGGGAAAAAAAAAAAAACACTCGGTTCCTGTACACAGGGGGCTAAAAACACGAAAAATCATTAACTTACCAAAGGAAGGCGTCCTGAAGTCGCCTAAGTTGACGCTTAAAACTAGGCACTGATTCGCATAGTTTAAGTTCTGGTTGCAACTCATTCTATAATGACGTCGCTCAAAGGCGGATCGACTTTGGACACTAGCAATGCAGTATGGAAAAGTGGTATGCTTAACATTTCCGAGTCCAGTTGGTTTTCCTCTTCGAGACGGCCGATCTTTAGCTATCTTTTAACCAGCTTTGAAGTTAAGTAACCTGGAGCACACCCGGTCATGCACTTAAATGCGAAAACAGAAAGTCGAAAATATAGTGGTTGCTTGACTGGGAGCCAGAGTAAGCCTTTTAAAAAGGGAGTAATGAGATCGAATTTTCCATCTACGCTTATAATTTTACAGGCGATACTTTGTACTGCTTGGAGTTTGTCCATGCATCAAGTTTCATACTCTAGTCCTGTATCAACATTTTGTCGCAATGAAATAAAAGACAGGAATTATAAGAGAGTCCAACAGCATATTTTCATTTCCTTTTCTTTTTCAGGAAAAAAAATGGCTGCCCCCCATGCTCGATATAATTTTCGTTGGAAATTTTCCATAGCCTCCCCTACATCATAGTAGGGAAAAAGAGTGACCCCCCTCAAAAATCATCATAGCCCACCCTCTAGGTAAATTATGAATGCTCCCTTACTTTTGAACTTACTTCTGAGCATCTTTGCTTAGTTTTCATTCATTATCCAATGAGTTCAATATCTTCACTGTTCTGTAATAAACGCTTCTCTGGCCACTCGCCGATTTTTAAAAATAAGGGAATATGTAGCGATTGTGAGTTTCTAGTTTCTCGCCCACTGATTTTAAATCGTTTAGTAAATTTAGACGTAAGATAATCTGGTACTGAGCCCGTCATAGATTTAAATGCCAGAGTGGCACTTCTAAGATACATTACTGATTTTTTTCTACTGGGAGCCAATTTAATTCTTTTAATTTTTCTGTCTGCTTCCAAAAGCCAGGAGTTTAGTTTTATCTGGGTTAAGTTCTTAGTTCTTAGTTCTGGTAGCATAACTTGCTGACGTTGAATAGGTCCTCTTCTTATATGAGCTATTGCGGGCGTCTTCTCTTTCAAATCAAACGAAATTAGTAGGTTGGTGTCGTCCACATAGCTCTTTGCCATGCATTTTATTGGTACAGAGGTGAGGTCTTTCGTATGTATACTAAAAAGAAGAGGTGCTAATATACTCCCTTGGGGTATACCGCTGACACTAGGAAGAGACTCAGAATCGGAAAACCTGTTGCCTGCCACTTAATTAGCTACGAAACCATTCTGTACATGAAGAAGAAGCTCCTGCATCTTGAAGTTTAGAGATCATCAGTTTGTGGTCGACGCTATCGAAGGCCTTACTCATGTCAAGTAGGACCATGGCTCTTAATTGTTTTTGTCCATCATGTCTGTTGTTTCAATGACGGACGTTTCTGTTGAATAGAATTTCTTGTTTCCGCTTTGATTGTTCGACAGCCTCCCCTCTGACTTAAGGAATGGTGCGAATTGATTATAGACGGCTCTTTCGCAGTCTTTCGAAACAACCGGCAGAAGCGAGATCGGCCCACTGTTACTTGCTTGTTCGTATATATATATAGTCTGTATCTTTTGGTATTGGAGTCACTTCGGCTAGTTTCCATTGTGTAGGAAACATGTTTGAGGCTATTGATGTGTTTATGACAGAAGTGAGAACAGGAAGGATAGAGCCCAAGAAATCCTTAATTACACGGATCTGAATCCTATCGATTCCGGGAGCTTTATTAGAGGCCATTGATGTAACGATAACTTTTAGGTGTTTACTTATCAGTCGCGTTCAATGAGAATGACATCTGTAGACGACCCTTGCATCGGCATTGGAAAGAACTCTCTAGCACACTAGGAACTAGCCTGTTCCAGGCAAAGTGGACAGTGGATACTGGAAAGTGGCGCGAAATGGAGAGCGGAGGGAAACAACGTGGAAGAGAGTAAGAGGGGGAGAGTAAGAGGAGCAAAAGAGGTTCTTTCGCCCTCTCTCCCTAACCCCGCCCCTTTGCCATTTTCTCTAGCTCACTTTTCTTTGCGTTTTCCCAGCTATCTGAGTGCCTGCTACATGTTAACTACGTTTATTCCTTCAATTCCAACTTTTTATGGTATATATTCAACTTGAGCGTCGATGCCTTTTGGCTCTTTGTTATTGATCAAGTGCAGGAACGAATTTGGTACTACTAAAGACTAAGAAACTGTAATTTTTGCTTTCTTTTTTTCTTTTAGTTTTTCTTTGTCTGTTTCTATGGTTTTTATTAGGACGTATTTTTCGCTTCTCTCCTCAGTCTAACTCACTCTTCCCCCTTCGCTATCTCCAGATAAGAGGGAACGACCATTTGTTTTGTTCCAGACCGTTCGTTCGCTCGACTATTCGCGCGTTCTTGGCTTACGCAAAAAGTACGGGCTATTTTGTCGTCTGAAAGACTTTGCACTGGTTGACGTTCTAGTGCCATGGAAACTCTAGCTGTAATACTGAACTCCAAATGACAGGTTAAAAGACTGAAAGTTCCTTTCAACAACGTTTGGAAAGAGAATATCGTCTTTTCCCACAAAAAAAAATAAATAAAATAATAATAATAATAATAACAAAAATAGGCAAACAAAATAGAGTATAATACTAATAAAACCTAACAAGAATCTTGTAACGAACGAATGGGAACACCTACAAGGAAAGACAGACTAGAGGACTTTCATCATCCTCTTTAGCCTTCAAGTCCATAAAACTTACTTTGACGCCCATGGTAGCCCCTTGGAAGGCGCTTATTGAAAGTTTGGGTAGTGGTTATGCCGCTGAGCCGGCCTTCAAACCCTGACTCTATTTAAGGCAAAAACTCATTACCCTATCAAATGCATTGCTCATGTTGGGAAGAAAAATGTCAGTTAGTTTCCTTTTATCAATGGCTCTCAGGATTTTATCGGTTGTCTGAATAACCATATGCAACTAATTATGAAAAAAAAAAAAATAAATAAACTTTTACTGCATATCTTATGAGGAAGCTCTTAGTAATGATACCCTGCATTATTAAAAGGGGAAAATGGGCGCATTGCGAGGTAGAGCCAACAATCCATCCACCCCTAAAAGTTTCACTCTTTCGCACTGTACCTTAATCACATATCATCCGCCACATTGATTTATTATCAGAAGGTAGAAAAGAGGGCGTCAGTGAAAATGCCAACACAGGGTCGGGGTTGGGGTCCGCTGTCCTTTATTTCGTTTTAGTTTTTTTTTTTGTTCTTGTTGTTTTGTTTTGTTTTGAGTGAAATCTGCTAAAACAACAAAAAAGAAACACGATTTTTAGTCGCGACCTGAGCAAAAGAAAAAAAAAAAAAGGAGAGGAACTGAAACTTTACGACAAGGACCACATTAGCTGCCGTAAACTGATCCGATGGACTGATGATCAAACACAAAATAAATGAACAAACACAAAATAACAGACCGAGAAATTATTTCTGGCAAACCTTTGTTCGCATATGCTTTACAAATCAGCGAATACAACGACAAGTACTACTCGTTCTTCGCGAAGATGAAGTGACAGCCTGTAAATTTTGCTTGAAAACCTTTATTTAGCTATTCCAGCTCTGGTTTAGTCATTATTAAACTGAATTTCTTTTTCCTTGTAGAACATACTTCATTTAAGCTTCGTTTTGTGCACTGACTTATTCCCCATTTACGACGAATTCATGACGAATCCTTTTCCATGTTGTTCTGACTTATATAGGCTTATGTTCCACACTAAATCCGACTCAAATCGGGGCTCATTTTTCAATTTTTCTTTAAAGTTTAAGTCAAGATATATAAAACGTCTATGGAACATTTATAAATGCACAAATTCCCTTTTGAAAGCGTAATTTCTTTGTCAATAATGTGAAAAATGTACCCGGAATTATTTACAAACTTCGCTGTCTTGGTTGCATGCATTCAAATCAGAACAAACGTTCTGCCGTGAAGAAAACTTCGTCGGAGACATTGAAGTCAATTTTCTTGGCTGAAGTAGCTTTTCTTTTTCCACAAAAATGAAACGGAGTATTCTTTTGAACATTACCTTTCTATCTGCGTCTTCTAACAGCACACTTGTAATCTTGCTACGAGAAAAAAAAAACTACCTATTGTCTTCATGGGAGATGGTTCCTGTTCATGAGGAAAAAATCGTCATGCATAAATTACTCAGTAAACACCATGACGTCATGTACAAGAAACTTAGCCCGTGCGCCCTACCCCCAGCTGTCTGATGGGGAGTACCGCGGACGCATCGTAAGACACCAAAGGCTGAAGACTGAACCTATGCTCCTCCGCGGTCCGTATAATTCTTTAAATAAATGAACTATTTGTGACTCAATAAGGTTCTCAATAGAAGAGGAAAACTTTGAACTTGTTTCCGCCATGTTAAGGCGGGGAGTCAAAAAATCATCCACATTGATGACGTCGAGCGAACCATTCAATTAATCACGATATATGCACTCTTGCTTTCAATCCGGAGAATTGATTTC